TCTCCACATTTTCAAAATTGAGATTCTTGCATTTTTCGATTTAGCTGATACAGATACATGCCTATCTAGGATATAAAAAATTCATGTACATCTACTTGGTATAGTATATTTTTGTGCAATAGAAAAAAGCTCTCTCTATATATCAAGCTGAAGATTCAGTTTTTGTCTGGTCTTTCAATTCATTGATTCAAATATATTCTATGCTTTGCGAGACTAAAATAGTCATTATTTCTTTACGAATAAAAATCCATAAGAAATAATTAGATTAAGTGCAGTAATTTAAAAAAGAAATATGAAAAAATGCTTTTTCTTATAATAAATACATAATTATATAGTCGTAAGAATTAATAATTAAGATTTTTTTCTTCTCTTGAATAGACTTGGAATGAATAGAAATAATATACAATATTTCTCACAAAATAAATTCAACCTTCCATTTTGTTGAGGAACACAGAAGCATCTGAGGTGGGAATTGAAAGTAGTTAAGTTGTGAAGGGGCGAGGCTTCCTGGTTGCTGGCACGTGATTGGCTGATCATCAAAGTCTCAGGGAGAAGGGATCGAAGATGCTTTACAAGCTCTTCATCTTTCAAGAGTTCTTTCATTTCTGTAAAAAGTCTTAAAAAACGACTGGCAGAATCTGTAGCTTTCTTGGGAAGGGTCTTTTTTCCTTTTGGTTTTTTCCTGGGTCTTGCACAGCAGCCCGAAAAACAGGGTGGGTGCTCACCGTTGCAGTTAACGCAGGTCGCCGGTTCAGAGATTGGTTTCGTACACTCGTACGAGAAGTGAGTTTGAGCACATTTCAGGCAGGCTGGTTCTGCTGAGCAGTTACGCTGGGAGTGTCCATATTTTTAGCATCTAAAACACTGAGTTTGGAAGCGTCCCCCACGGAAACGCTCAATCTGAACTTTTCTTAGGTACTGATGTAGAAGATGTTCCTGTTAACTCTGGAATCTGATTGGAAGATAAGAAAAAGTGGGAGGGGCCTAAGGCCCTGTCCGCTTGCATTTAATCCTCTGAAGAGGGTTTTCAATTTTCTGCTCGGTGGAGAGTCCTCTGTTGAAGTGGAAACGGGAGTTTCCACCGTCGCCGAGGCTTCGGTTACTTCCTCTCGCTGCATCGGTTCAGGTTCCAAAGGAGATGTAGGCACTGAGTCAGGAGGGGAATCAGTAGGAGAAGTCTTTTTCTTCCTCTTCTTTTCAGGTCTTTCGGAGTCTGGATCCAGCTTGGTAACGATTTCCAAGGCTTTCGCCTCTTCCATCATTTCAGGCTCAGTTGGGGTAGTAGTTTCGGTGGCATTCACCTCTTCTGACTGTTCTGTATCCAGGGATGTCTCGGTGGCTTGGGCAGTCCTTTTGTCGTTAATTTCTTGGAGAGCCTCAAGGCAGTAGTAGATCATATACCAGTAGTTTTCGCTTTCGACATAGGTATGCATTTCAATGCAACTTCTGCAGCTGGCAATATGATAATCAAAATCGGAGGTCAGTCGAATCATCAACTTCCTTTTGGATATCTCTCCAGGCGTTTGCCTTGATAGCTGGGGAGTCAAAGGTGGGGGTTGGCTTGCGGCAGGGTTGGTAAACCTTCCCTCCACGGCGAGATCTCTGGGAAGACATTGTGGATAGAGATAAAACAACCGCACTCTAAGAAATCTCAATCGTGAATGAACCACCTCTGAAGGCAGATGCTTCGACTACTATATACGGATTTCCCCTATCGGGAAGTCGTTATGGAGTTAAAATACTATAATGAGGTTTTCTGGTAATCTTAGAAGATTAAGATTCACAAGACAATTCATCATCAATTTTTAAATTTAACACTTTAGACATTTTACGCATATAATCAGCATTTAAATGACACAATCTTTTATGCCAAATTACATTCATTTCAGCGTTATTTTTAACTTTGTTACACCCAGAAAAACATACATCGTTATTAGCATTAAGTTTTAGCTCAACTTCTAATTTTTTATTCACATTTAAAGCTTTCAAAACTAAACGTCCATTAGAAACAATAATTATTACTGAGTTTGACTGTGATTTATCCTTATACCTTTTATCCATTAAACATGTAACTGACAGTAAATTATGACGTAATTCTGGTATATACAATACATTACTAATTATAATTTTTGCATTATTACTTAGTGAAATAGCTTTAACAGTTCCGGTTCCTTTAGTATCTAATGTAAAAGTCTTACCTGCCTGGTATATTTTACTGTCGCAAGCATCTAGAGATTCAGACCAGCGTCCATCCCTACCTTACACATATGAGACGTGGCTCCGCTATCCAGGAATCCAACATTCGTCCACTTGTCCTTTCTGTTCAGCTGAAACTAAGGCGAAATTATCTGGAATAGCACTATCGGATACCAACGTTTCTAGAAAATTTGATTTTCGACGACCTTTTACTCTGCTTGTCGATGGTTTGCAGCCTCTATCGGTTCCCACTTCTTGATGTTTTGAATAACAATTCCTCGTTATATGCCCCGGTCGTCTACAGGAGTAGCATATTTTCCTTGGAAGACTCTTCTTCTGAGTAGCATACGCAGATTCCAAATTTCTTTGTCCATGGGATTTCTGTAGTAAATCTTTTCTTCGTCCCTTAAGACTTCGAGTATTTCTTCTAGCGACTTTTCTTGTTGAGTTTTTAAAACTTGTTTTATGCTCTCATATTTTTCATCTAGATCTATGACCGTGTAAAACACCAATTCTCTGTCAGATATTTTCTGTCCCAAGGAAGCACACTTAGTAGATAATCCTTTAGCTCGAGCTATATAATCGTTTACGGCTTCTAAATCCAGCATTTCTAAGCTTTTAAGTTCGGCACCCGCATCAATCTTTCTATCTTCTTCAAGCCCAGTGTAGGTAGTTTTAATGCTTGTCCACAAAGCTTTTGAATTCTTTTCTTCTGCATATAGCAAAGCCTGCTCGTCTGATAGAGACAACTTCAAGTATGATACGGCATCTTGGTTAGTAGTTTCCCAAACTTGCAATTTAACAGGTTCAGTTGGAGCTTCCTCTGTCAATGCCGACATTAGTCTTTTCAAATTCAAAACTGCTTCCATTTTCATGGCCCAAAGATGATAATTAGTTCCAGTCAACTTCGGAATTCCAAAAACTTAGTCTTTTTCCATGATGATCGTAAACCACGCTCCGCTAACAAATGTTGTTTTGTTGAGGGACACAGAAGCAATGCTAGCAAATAAAGAGTTTATTAAAATACAACTTGAGGAAATAACATCACGCACACACTATGCAAAAGAAAATATAGCTTAATCAATCATCATAGCTCATGATGCAACCGAACGAACGAACCACCTCTCAGGCAGATGCTTTGACTACTATAACACGGATTTCCCCTATCGGGAAGTCTTTACACTAACTCGCGCAACTTACCTGAGAGAGAGGAAAAATGGGGTTTTGTTCGCATATTAACAACACATTTCATTTCAAGATTAGTAATATTTTCACATTTTCTCGCATGACATTCACGCTATTCGGTAAATATCATTTTAGTTCCCATTAAGTACAAAAGTGTGTAGTAATCGCTTAAAAAAATGTGTGAAATGATTAAAAAATTAAAATAATTAATAAGTAAATAATTTTTTCATCATCATAAATTGAACATAATTGAACCTTAAAAGAAATTTTTTTTAAAAAAAGCACTTAAAAATAACAGCTACCAAAAAAGCGCTAATGCTCACTTAAGAAATAAAAATTAAGTACTCGAAAAAAATGATAATGTGGACACAGCTTTTTAAGTTATGTATTTTGTCCTCCTCAAATAAACATATGTGTGTCAATATAATAAAACATTTTGGGATCTGTCCTTTTTTTAATTTAGACATAACCAACTGAATATCGTCTACAAACAAAAAATTATTGTAGCAATCGATGTGGGTGAACTTTTTATAAAAAAAATTTTTTTTAATGATTTATTTTACTTTTTAACGAAATTTTTAAGGAAACCAAGTTCAAACATAAACAATATTTTCTTAAAATTTCCAGGAATAAACATCTCAGAATTCACAATTCCTTAAAAGAACCTTAAATCTTAAAATTTAATATTTAGCCATGGCTTAGCATTTTTTTTTTTTTTTTTTAATTTAAGCCATTACAATACTTAATGATAGTTATTTTAAAGTAAGAAGCTTCGAATTTTAAAATACGGGTAATATAATTATAATTTTAATAAAATAATATTTTCAGTTCATGGATTTAAAGTATTAAATTTTTTTTCTTTTTTTTAATTTGAAGAATCTTTTTTTTCGAAAACTCTAATTAGACACCAAACCAATTGAAATTTTTATTAATTGTAAAAATTCGGTTTTTATTTTTCGATATATATTGCTACTTTATATGTAAATTTTTTTAAAAGTTCCGATACGGCTGGTACTCTTTTTATAAAGTTTTTATTTCACAAAAGACAAATATATCTACACTTATGTCTAAGGAGACGATATAATAAATCAAATGTAAACATAGCAATAATGCAACTATGAGTAGGATGCACAATAAATGTAAAATTCTCATTGAGTATTTAAAATAATATGTAGCTTTATAAATACGTGATATTTATTTTTTAAAACCTTATTTCATTACAAAAAAAATCATGCTTCCCTAAGTTTGAAATACAGCTTAAAATATACCTACTATAATTTAAAAGCCACGCGTCCCGAACTAAACAACAGAGGCGGGCAAAATTTTTTGATCTTGTAAATCAGTGAAATTCTAAAAAAATTTCTTTTTAACGCAACGACGGAGATTGCATGGTATATTATATTCTTCTCATTTAAATATTCAACGTAGAGCATAATATTTGTTGAAACATTAAGTCGATGATTGCGGTAGAATCGTGTGTCTGAAATCATCAACCTCAGCCATTTTTTCTTTCTTTTTTTCCCCCCCTTCTTTCCTTACCAAGCATGTAACTGCCATATTTTCTTCTGTTATTCTTCAAATTGCTACAGTCGCATGTAAGAGTTAGTTTATTTTACGTGTTTTTGAATTCTCATATTTGACACATTTATGGTGGCAATATCCTCGAAACACAATTGAAAGAACTCTTGGGCCTTACAGAGTGTAAACAATTACGAGAGTAATTGGAAAAATTATTTGTTCCATTGTATTAAGGTGCAATACTACCCATTATTAAGCAAAAATAATAAAGAATTCATCGTGATTTTATAGTTCTCAACAAAATTCGTATAAAAGATATCGTTTCGGTGAAAGATTTTATCCATCCAAACGGTTGGTATTCGGGAATATTCACTAAATACACGATGGTATCTGTGGTAAGTTTGATCAACATTTTATTGTTAGTCTAAAAAAAAATAACTTAATTTTTTAAAACATTGAATATATTTTTTACAGTTTTCCTTGAAATGTTACATAAACCATTCTTTATAATATAACAAATAATTTAAAAAACAACTGTTTTTTTTCTTCTTTATTCAGGACTATTATACTCAAATAACTAAGTGTGTACCATTGATTCTGCTCTTAAAAAATACGTTAGAATTGGCTTTCAGATTTTCCAGATATTGTTGACAAATGCTATACAACTGGAATTATTTTTATCCAAAAAAAAAAAAGCTTTTATTCATTCCTTTTTTTTTTCATTCATTTATTTTTTATTTATTTGTTTGTTTTGAATTTATTTTTAAACGGAGAAAAAAATAAATAAAAAAGTGTTTAGCTAACGATTCTAAAAGTGATGAAATTTAGGAAAACAGGCGAAGCGCACAATGGATGGTTAGATGATGTTAAAAAGTAGTGAAAAAGTGAGTTAATGATCGTGATGAATTAAGCTAATTGAGATAGCCGTGGCTGGCACTCTGTTATAGTGCTGGTAGAAGATGAATAGTTACGTAAATTTCGGTTGCTAATTTTAATCAGAGGCAGTAGGACGTAGGCATAATATTTTGTAAGATCCTTTACGTTTTCTCTTTTTGTTAAGGGGCCTCTAAGATAAAGTTTAAGAAAACGTTTAATCGTTTAATACATAAAAACGAATTGTACGATTTTTTGTAGTTAATAATTTTTCTAGCATTGGTATTATTCTTTTTGATTTTGATTTTCAAAATTTCGATTATCGCTGTTTTTTCATATATGTGTATTATGCAAAAATGTTTAACATAACTAGTTTCTATTATCAATATGTTAAAAACTGCTGCCTTTAGAAGCCATACTTATGGCTTAAGTTATTACATTCAATCTCTATATGATTGATATGTCATAAAATTCAAACTTTTAAAACCAAAAAATATTTTTAAAAAAATAATAATAAATAAATAAATTTATAGCTTTGGGGCGGGTCCGTGACAAACGTCCCGCTTGCCTCACCTTTACGATGACTCTAATCTATATTATATAAAACGCTAATACGTACGTATGTATGTATGTAAAACCGATGATATTTCTTTTCTCGCGCTGGCAACAGTTTTCATTTTTAATTGATTGGATTCGGCGCGCAAGAGCACGTAGTGAGCAACCAGATAACAATAACCAGAGTGAGCATTATCAGGTTGTTCAATTCAGATTCATGCACTAAAAACATGGCAATATTTAATTTAAACTCATTTAGGAATTAATTAATTAATTGAAGTGAGAATGCTTTAAAAGGCCGCTGTTGAATTGATATTTTTCTACTGGGAGCTACCTAAACGTCTAAAAAACGTTTAAGTGTTTGTATTGAATGCATTGAATTTTTTAATATTTCGCGTTTATTTATGCATTGAATTTTCACGCTTTAAAATGCAGAATGTTAGTGAAGCAATATTTGATAATTTATTTTGCTAATATGTTTCTTATTTAGCTAATGTTTTGATTTTTTCACCATGTACAATCTAAATAGCTAATATACTTTTTTAAAAGCCAATAAGAACATTGGTAGAATTCTTCTACATAAGTATAATACTATGTCTTTGATGATAAAATACTATGTCTTTGATGATAATATATTATGTCTTTGTGCTAGAACTTTGTGTTCATTGGCGAGCGAGCGCAGCGAGCCATGGTTCACGGCGTGAACCACATAGGATTGCGTAGCAATTCTCGGGGGTTGGCGAGCGTTAGCGAGCAGGGGGCGGAGCCTCCTAGTTGTAATATAATTCTTAATTAAAATTTTGATGTAGAGATTTATCGACAGACCAGCAGCAACAAAATGTAAACAGTTTAAAAAAATTAGTTTTTTTTAAAATTTAATTTATTCATCATTAGCAGTTCGCAATCGAGACTAGAGAAAAGAAAATTATGTATGCGCCTTCTGATTGTTGAGTGTATTAAAAGGCAAATATAAAATTCGAATTTCTGATTACCACGAGATCAGAAAACCAACCTCGATGCGATTTTTTACCCATGCACGTAAAATCTTGAACTAAAATCTTATGGTTTTAATATTTTGATAGCATACTTTAAAATTGCAGTTCACAGGCCTTGTTTGCAATGCATTTGTTCAGGGCACGTCTGTTGCGCATACCCCAATTGTTTTTTTTTTCATAATTATTATTCTATTTTTAATTTTAACTTAAATTATTCTGACAAGGCTGTTGAAAGGCGAACCAACTAATCACCGAAGGTGCGGCTATAGTTATATGTCGAGATGAGTAACTAATAATGTTTTGGGTGTAGAATTATTATGGAAACTAATGTGTTTAACTATACGTTACAGCAGAACCTAAAGCTTAGAAATTCTGTTGAAAACTCTACTGGTATTTGGGTTACGGATAAATCGTGGCATTCGTCGATTCAGAAGCCAATCAGTTACGAACGACAGACAGGCGTGACATCGGTATCCAATTAAATATGATTTAAGTCACATGGCTGCGCCTAAGCACTAATCTTCTTTTCAAATTGAAAGTTCCCAATTATCACTTATTTTTAAATCCATTAAAAAAATAAACACTTGATGTTATATTAGAAAATACACGAATAATAAGGATCCTAAATTCTTAGACAATTCACTGGGTGATCAAGAATTCAAAGTAACTCAATTAGTAAAATGTTAATTGTTTTAATTTTTATAAAAGATATTTATTGCAATCTCAAATAAGCATAAAATATATAAATACTAACTTAATCCATTTTGACCTAGCATGACATATAAGTCTCGTAAATTGCAAGAATTCTACGAGAATTTTTCTTATCTGAAACAGGACTGTTTTTATATCGTTTTTTATTCTTTTCAAAAATCAAGTACATAGTTGCTAATAGAAGAAAATATTCATTTAGTTAAAACAAATAACCATTTCTTTAAAAGGAGCTTTTTTGCGTTATGGCATAAAAAAATTCAGGTTTGAATGAGTTAAATAAATATATTATTTTAAAATTAAACACTCTTTGCAATTTAATTTCAATAGATTATATAATTAATAAGTATAATAGCTTAAAAGTCTACGTTTGCAACCTCTTAAAAAAGACTTAGAGACTTAGTAAATCTAGTAAGTCATACAAAAGACTTAGTAAATCTTACAAAAGACTTAGTAAATCTAAAAATATAACGTATTTTAAAAGCAAAATATTACTGCTCAACACAAATTTTCGATAAATATTTACCTAATAGCAATAGAACTTTCACCTTAATACTTGAGCACTTAAAAAAACCTAGAAAAGAGATCATTGATGTAAGTAATGAAAACAAATTTAAAAAATTTTTTTTTTTAATCTATGACGTTAGGGAATTCCAAAACTGTATACAGGGCCTGATTATTGCCTAGGCCCAATAGGCATGGGCCTTAGGGGTCACAAAAATTAGTAAATGGAAGGTGAGATAGCTTTGTGTTATTTTAAGTACTAAATAAAAAATAATTACATCTTACAATAAAAAAAAATATTTCAGTTAATCAGTGACTTTTAACAAAAATTACAGATGATTTCAATTGTTTGTGGTCACCAAACTATTTTTATTTTGACATAACATTGTTTTAGATTTTGATTTATAGATACGTAAACTTCATCTTAGAAAAATAATCTTCAATTGTCTGCTTTCAATATTTCTTAGAATGTTTAATCTTGCAGTTCAATAGATTCTTTTCTATTGTTGGGACTCAAAATATTATGTAAACTTCAGTAACTTAATTTCAAAATATTCTGTATGGGGCCAGGAGAATATGGGGGGGGGGGGGCTGAATTTGTCTTCATCGGTCCCTGACTGTATAATGTCCCTGCCTCAGTTGCTATAATCAGCACCTGCTGCAATAAAATATTAGTTTATAATGATTCCTAAACTTGTTGCATAAATGAGTTGTGAACCGAGAAGTGTGATAATTTTTTTTTTCTCTTTCTTTCCCGGAGCGCAGTTCGCTGGGAGTGGATGGAAGGAGATCGAAAGAAAAATTTAAATATTGCTTGCTGTTTTGTTTACCAGTCAATATGGAGGATAAATCTAGAAAAGAATTAAATTCTGCCCATCGACTCAAAGCCTCATATGATTCTACTGCTTATCCCGTAAACTAGCTTGGCGCGATTATTGCCGCTTTTACACCAAATGTTTATTGCCCATGAAGCTTATAGAGTAAAATATATAGCTCATATTTGGGAGGTGCGATTGTAACCTTTTCAGCAATTTCTTTGGGGGGAAAAAAGATTACAAGATCATGTACTTACTTTGTTTGAAACTGAAAGGGGAACTAACAGTAATATGTTTTCAACAATCAAGAAGTTAGAGACATGCTTCTCTAAGTTTTATTTTTAAAAATAATATTTTTAAAAAATAAAAATTCGTTTTTTAAAGGAAATTTAATAGGAATTTCTTGTTTTTAAAAACATAAGCATTCTTATTGAAGGAATTTTTATTTTTAATAACATTATTTATAAGTTTAAGAAAATTCTTATTTTAAAAAATCTAAATTGATTTTTTAAAACCATTATTTATTTTTATTATTGGTTGAAGGGAATTATTATTTTTTTAAATATTGCTTTTTTATTTAAAGAAGATCAAATTTTTATTATTATTTATAAAAAAATTCTTATTTTGTTGAATATTATTTATTTTCAAAAAACATTCTTTGTTTTAAAAATATTTAATTGTTTTTTAAAAACGTTATTTCTATTTAAAAACATTATTTTCTATATTTAAATTTTTCTTAAAAGAAATTCTTTATTTTGAAATATAATTTATTTTTTAAAACTATTACTTGTTTTGAGATTTTAATTACACGGTACATTTATAAGTAAAAATGTACCATGTAAAGAAAAATTTTATTTTTTAAGTCTTATTTTACTCTTCCTTTTAGCGATTTTTCTAGTAAATTTTATTTAAACATTTATTATAGATTACCTCTTCTAATATTAATTAATATTTTATATTAATATTTTTAAAATATTAATATATATATCTTAATATTTTTAAAAAACTATTATCTTTATTTATGTCGAAACATAGCTAAATTAAGTTAATAAATTAAAAAAAAAATTGTGGTTAAATATTAAACTTTTAATCAAATTAGACTTTGAGTTTTCTGTACATTCCCATGTACAGAAACTGTGCAGTGAATACCTCTTGATCAAAGGGTTATAGAAACATGGTTAAAATTGAAAATATTTTTCAAATTAAGTTAGTATCGTATATGATTGCGTGACTTGTTTTAGTAAGTTTTTAGAAAAGTAACCTTTTTAAACCTTGTTTTAATGCTTAAACCTAAAATTAGAAAAATGCTCTTTAATACAATAGTCTGTAAAAAAAGTTTTTTTTTTTTAAAAAAAAAAAACTGGTAACATTTGCCTCAAAAAAAGAATTAAAAAACTCTTTTACTACTTTCTCACAAAGAAATAGGAGAAAGAAGTCGTCTGCATAAAATCTTAGAAACCACAATAAAAACTTTCTCACTAACATGGTCGCAAACTTAACTGAACTGCAAACTAATGAAAATTACATTGAACTTCACTAAACTGAATATTTCAATCTTATGATAAGAGATGGCTCGGGAAAATAACGTTCGCCTTCAAATTAGATGAACAGGTTTCAAATCCCAGGGTTGATACGGATTCCGGTTTGCACCAACCACTGTGCGATAATATCCTCAGCAGAATAAATATCCTAAGCGGTAGACGGATCAATGGTTAGTGTCCCCTTGCCGTCAGGCTAACCGTGATATGTTTTCTTGGTTTTCTTCTCCATGTAACACAAATACGGGTTAGTTTCATCACAAAGTCCTCGATGAGGACACATTTCTCCCAACATTTGGTTCAGGAGTTCCCTTGTCTTCTGGATTGGGTTCAAAATAACAAGGATACGGAGTTGAAGTGGGACTAAACATATGAAAAGTTTAAAATTGAAATACCTAAGAATGAAAGATTTTTTAATGCAAGCGCCTCTTAAATGGATTGCATTATCAAATTTATTCTTATTTCGTTGAAATTATCCAAAGCTATTTGCATTGAAAAATATATAAATGAAATGAATTGATAGAAATAAAATGGTTAAAATTAATATTTAATTATTTTTACAAAGTTTATCTCGAAGTTGATAGTTGACAGTTAGCAATATTTCTTAAATTTGAAAGAAATAATGAAAATTTTACTTCGATTTACTTTTTTTTTTTTTGTTGAAATATTTAAATAAAATTTTCACTTAATAATATGAAGCATAATTATGAAAATTGCTCAAGGAAAATAAGAAAAAATGAAAACACTGAAATCTCAATTAAGTAATAATACTATTTTATAATTTTTGTAAAGTGTACTTTACAGATACTTTGAAGTATGAAAATATTGAAGTTATTTCAGTTAAAATTCAAGTTCGGTTAAAATAAATATTAGTTAAAAAAAAATATCGAACAATTTTATATCATATTCTAAATTTTTAATCTTGTTTTATAATCACTTAATCCTTTTTTCTTAACTATAAAAGAAGGGATTTTTAGTAATGAATAAATATAAATATTATTTCTTCATTTTGATAAGTTTTTTTTTTATAATTAATCCCATAATTAGTCAATTTTGACATCTAAAAAATGCTATTTATTAATATACTCTTAAAAAAACTATTTAAAAAACTGTTCAAAAAAATTAAAAATCTATCTACATATTTATTTCGTCAATCTTCCTTTTTCTTAAACTAAGAAAATTGTACTACTCATGAAGTGAAATTATGAAAGTTGCACCTACTAATTTTATTAAGAAATTACGAAGTTTATTAAAAATTCATTAACATATTACAACATATCTTGATTCTCACAATCAAAATATAAGTCAGTGAATAAGAATTAATCTAAAATAATACGGCATAAAGTAAAAGTAATATTTGACCCATACACATCATGCGCTTTTATCATGCACTTTTAAATATACAAGTGTTTTGCAAAAATTCTGAAATCTTAAAAATTCCAACTCACAAAATTGTGTTTCCCAATTGAAATTCGAAATAAAATATTCATAGATCAAAAAATCATGACAAGCAGGCAAGTCTTTATTAATATATAATATTAATATATAGTATAAATAAGGATGTATAATAAGTATTTGGATAATGAATTAGAGCTGATAAAAATGAAGTTAAGATTAAGGTGTGAGTAAGAATTAGCCTCTAGCCATATCAGCCTCTTTAAAAAAAAATGCTGTTTTTTTTACATGTTTTTGTCTTAGTCTGCAATACAAGTTTGATTGCTAATATTTACATAGAATTCAATCAATTTGATTTAAATCTAGCAATTATATTTCCTTTAAGTTCAAATTTTCTAATAAAATAATTTAAAAATTTTACCACTGAAACCCTTGTTAAAAATTATAATATTGAAGAAATCTTAACTATTCAAANAAAAAAAAAAAAAAAAAAAAAAAAAAAAAAAAAGAGAGAGAGAGAGAGAAAGAAAATAATAATAATTTAATAATTGCATAAATTTGTTTTAAATTGTTTTAATATTTGGTTAAATATTTAAAATAATTCTCATATGACTGTAAAAAAGGAAGAACTTAGTCTGTAATACAGGGTTGATACTAATATATAGAATTCGATCAATATACCACTGAACCCTTTGCTAAAAATTATAATATGACTACAGGGTGTCCCAAAAGGTCGTTTACAAACTTAACATGCTGGTCTGTCATATCATGATGAACAAGATTTGCATAGGAACTTGTGTCCGAAAATTAAAACTGCGACCGCTAGAGGGCGATAATTGCACGAAAACGGGAGAGAGGGAAAAACAATCATTTCAGGCGTGGACGTTGAAGGAGAAGGATGAATGAGTTTAGTAACGCAGAAATGGCCGACATGCATTACGTATACGGCGCCGCTGATGGAAATGGACGAGCCGCGGCACGGACGTACCTTGAGCGCTTCCCAAACTGACGTCAGCCAAGTCATGTTTTGTTTGGACGATTGCACCGCAGATTATGTGAAACAGGTGCTTTTGTACACGTAGCCACATCGGTCGAGAACGTGCTACACGCACACCTGTCGTAGAGGAAACCGTGCTACAGGAGTATGCCATCAACCCGCAAAGAAGTCTCCGAGAAGGCGAACGCTAGAGTAGCTCGTTCCACCATGACACTGCGAAACGTGCATTGTGGCAAATGGAAGGAATTTTGAGCATTTGCTGTGATGTAATGATGTTTTATAATAAAAATCATATTAACACCGCTATCGATATCATTTTTTTCTCCTCATCCAAACCTGCACTTATCGCCCTCTAGCGGTCTCAGTTCTAATTTTCGGACACAAGTTCCTATGTAAATCTTGTTCATCATGATATGACAGACCAGCATGTTAAGTTTGTAAACGACCTTTTGGGACACCCTGTATATGATCTTGACTATTCAAAAAAATTTTCAATAACTATTTAAATTCTTTTAAATAATTTTAATATTTGCTTAAATATTTAAAATAATTCACATATCTCTGTAAAATATATCAAAAAAGCGAAGTTAACTATCTACTAAGTAACTGATGTAAAAATAATTTTAATTGACTGAATGCTTCAAATGATTTCAATCAATGACAATCAAATTAAAAATAAAGAATTAAATAAATTTCTCCAAATTTGAAATGAATATTAATTCAAACCTTCATTAAAAAAAAGTTTATATGCTATGTTTTAGTTACAGAAAATAACATTCTTTGGGGAAAACTGACCAAGTTTTGATGTCCTAAAAAATGTTGTGCCATAATTTTTTATGAAAATGAAGTTTTCTTATGATTTCTAGAAATTTCCTTTTAAAAATAAGATTCCTTAGTTTTAGAATTTTTTGAGTACGATGTTACTCTTAAAAGCTATTAAAAGACAATAAATTTTCCAAATTATTAATATCGAGTTGCTCAAATATATATTAAATTTAATGCAATAAGTATTAAGCCATTCATGAAAAAGTATGATGGAATTTCATTTTAAGACTAAACCCATTGGGTGCTGCTATGTCGATTGAGAATATTTCTTTTTCTTCTCAATTTCTTAGAATTATTGCATTTAATAATGAACATGTAAAGCAGAAAAAAAGATTTTGTGGGAAACAAATTGCTTTACTTTTATAGATAATTCAACACTTCCAACCAAAGCTCCCATTTCGGGACGGACAAACTGGGAGTCATTATCAAGTGCTTGTAATAAATTTTTTGAATTAGCTGGTATTAAGGAAAGCTTATTACCAAGCATTTTCTGCAATTAATGTTTTTAGCATTGTGTTAAAAAAAGCGATGGAAAAAAACCCACTATTTTCATACTTTACTTATTTTTATTATAAAAATCGAATACAAATAATTGAACTTAAGGGGTTGTATCTAATATGAGGTTTTTACCCCTCTTGATGTTGGCAAGAAATATATTGTCATAATATATTTAGCCCAGAAAAATAAACAGCTTTAGAGGATAAGTTTGCGATTATGTGAGAAAGAAAGATCTTTTTTTTAGATTAATCTGTAATCTGCTGAGAACTCGTACGTTTGTGGAATGAGTATTTAAAAACATCGATTTCTACTTATGATATCGATATTACTAGCTAGGAGTGCGATTTCCCATTATTTCGCAGTTTCGATTTCTCGAGCACGCGCAGTGACTCTTTCAGAAGAAAAGGGGTATATTTTTACATTATGTGCTGCCAAGTTGCGATTCCCCACATTGGCGAAATTTGTATCTAGTCTTTGGCATGACAATGACTACAAACATACACTAACCCCTTTGCCATACCCAGCCACACCCTTTCAGCGATTGGAAGGGAGGTGTCAAACACGATGCGAGGATGAATACTACATGTAACCTTCTTTACATTTTAGAGTTTAATATTTTTTTATAAAACTGTATAATATCAGGAATTTTTTATTGAACTGTTATTAAGAAACATTTCTTCTTTTCCAGTTGATTCGTCGGATTGCAATTATAATCTCTTTCGTTCACCTCATCCAAGCTCAAAGACCAAACGAGGCCTTTAATTCTTATGGAGGACAGCCACAAAATATTCAGACCGGCCCAAGAAATCAACCTCCGCCCCAATTCAATGGTCAGCAAAGATGGACACCTCCTAACCAGCAACCCTATAACAATGGGTTCCAAAGAGCATCACCTGGAACATTAGGTGCTGAATCAAACAGACCCTATAGTGAACAATTTCAACAAGGCCCACCAAGAACCAATAATAATCTAATAAACCGTCCATATATTGAACCTCCGAGACCTATAGAAACAACTGGTAATGGATATAACCGACCTCCTGTCACTTATGGCGGATACCAAAGAGGACCGCAATTATCTCCAGGAAGTAACCAAAATAGGCAGGCCATAAATGGCCCGCAAAGACCGCTCATAGCAATTGATAATAATAGACCAAACAGTCAACCTCAAAGAGTGGCTAATAATTATGGACAAAATGTTTTTAACCAACAAAGACCATCTTTTGCAACCGATAACTTAAGAAACAGACCAATATACTACCGTCAGAGGGGACCTGCGAGAACAGTGCGTAATGAATCCAATGCGCCAATTTACATTCGAAGAGCCCAAAGCCCACCACCTACCAACAATGAATTAAACCGACCCATTTACAATGTTGGAGGACCGATTAGAGTTCTTGATAATGATTCTAACAGACCTATAAATTTAAATGGATTTCAACCAAATGTACCAATATCTGATGCTGGACTAAATAAACAAACCAATTTAGTGGACATTAATAAAGAAGAACAGACTGAAACTAATAACGACCCTGATACGAATGAAGGCGTTGTAAACAATGCGCCAAGGGAAACACCACCTGATCAACTAAAATCAGTTTCTGAGGAACCAAAATCTTCAAGCAACTCAAAACCTTCATCTATTGAGATTAATAAAGAATCCAGCAACAGCAATGGATCTACATTATCGTTAATAGAAAAAAGTGACAAAACCAAAGATCCAGAAAATTCCACGTTGCAAAAGCAAAAACCCATGACTAAATTAGAAGTAACTACACCAAGTAATGTTCAGAATTTGTCATCCTTGAATACTGAAACTGAAAAATCTGACTCCACAGAGGAAACTTCGTCTGAACAGGAGTGAATGACTATTACCCCTCCCCTTGTCTTTTTAGCAAAATTTTCTGAACATTGAGATAACCTAGGTTTGAAGACCATAGCACGCAAACGAACTTCGTTTTTTAAATTTTAGACATTTTGTCTTAAATAAAATTTACTAATACGTACAGGATATTCCGTAATTACTAATCTTAGCCCGTATTTTTACAATCCTTGACAAAAATAAAATCAAAGAAGTAAGCAAACATTGAAGGCAACTAGTTAATTAAGTAAAAAAAAAAAATCTTATCTATATTTAACGAATAATAGCTAAGAAAGGCAGAATGAAAAACATCAAAATCTATTTGATAGCCTGATTGAACTGTATGGAATTTCCAAGAGTTCAGTCTCGCTTTCCGCATTCGTTAGAAATTCGATAGCATTTTTGTTTTTTCCCAGCTGAAATATTAACTGTTGACTTCTAATATGCATAATTTTATGAATTTAATTTTGACAATTATTCTAAATATATGTAAAAAAAAAGGGCGGGGATTACGGAACAATTTGTATAATATGTGGACTTTAATTTCAAAGCAAATTTTGAGGAAAATTCTTTATAACTTCATCAGATAAATGAAAAGAATGTTATTTATATTGTCCTAACTGTAGCAAATATTATATGATGAAGTGCATTACAAAATATTTTTACAATAAGTGTATTTTCAAGCAAAAATTTGAATCACAGGAAACGCTGCATTTTATAACCACATTTTCACCCATATAACTTATTTATTTCATACTCTTCTTCATTCATTTAGAAATATAAAAAAAAACTGCTTTTAAGAAGAATATTGTTCATTATTACGATATATATGTTTTTAATTGTTAATAAATCAATACCGAATGTTTCATTGCTTTGTTTTGTTCTGAGTTGTTGACATCATTGTTTTGCACTGTAAAAAATGTTTTAATAACCAAATATGAAAAGTTTTTATTATTATTACTAAAAAAAAGAGTTATACTTGACCAACACATTCAAAATCTTCCGTCAAGGCAGAAAATTTTGGTTGATGCAATTTTTTGCCTTACTGGATTTATTTAAAACTAATTTTGTTTGAAAGAAATGTATGTTATAATTTTTAAAGGTGCCCAACTGGAGTAATATTTTTAACAAAAATTTAAATTTGTCCATAAAATGAAAAATTTCTGCCAGTAGACGGAAACTTTTAGACATTTTATATAATTTTTTTTTATACTTCTTTGCACCTCGAGATTCACATGAAACTGGCTGCATATGGAACAGAGGTCTTCATACTTTCCAAAAGTGCCCATATATCTAAAAATTTCATGACATTTTCTAAAAAAAAATATTTTGTCCAAAACACACTTTAAATTGTGTTTGTGTTTCCTCTGAATCAAGGAAATAAGAACTTTGAACTGTTTTACGGAATTTTTAGAACGCTTATAAAAAAAACTGAGATCACTTTCCGACTAACTAGAGAGCTTAAAAATTATCTGAGGCTATGTATTTTGTTACAATACGTGCAATAGGAAAGTCAATTTAAGCGAAAAAAAATTTAAATTGCGATTTTTATCTATTTGGAATTTTCGTATGATAAGCTACTTGCATAGCCGTGTGGCTACACATTTATACTGCGAAATTTTTTTGTTTTTTGAAACACTTATTTTTTTGACTGATGCAAAATTATTGATTATATTGATTGCTGCCACAAAATAATAAATAAATAGCTGACACAAAATAATAATGACATAAAAGAACAACGAATTGTAACTGTATTATAATTAGTTATTCCTGCAAGGCGAAAAAAAACTATGCCAAAATTACCGCAATGTATGGTTAAGACATTCCTGTCAAAAAAAATAAAATAATAATCTGGTAGTATTTAAACCATTTATTTGGTAATTTTTCAATTCATATGGTAACGATTTTACCAGAAATTCATGTAAATTATTATTCTTATCCAATTAAACTATTACTATATACATAAACTTATCATAATAATTTTGATTTGCAAAAGTTCTTATTACCATACATTTAGTAAAAAAACAAAACTGAAAAGTAAATTTAACCAGATAAACGATTTTAAGTAATTTTTCTGATTTTGACATAAAAAAAACTAGCAAATTGACGGAACACTGTATGATGTGCTGCATGAAATACTTCTCTATGAATAATATTGTGGAGATTTTCCTGATTTTGAAAATAAAAAATACCCAGCAAAGTGACAGGATATTGTGCGACGTGCTGCGTAAAATACTTCTCAAAGAACAATATTGAAGTAATTTTTCTGATTTTGACATAAAAAAAACTAGCAAATTGACGGAACACTCTATGATGTGCTGCATGAAATACTTCTCTATGAATAATATTGTGGAGATTTTCCTGATTTTGAAAATGAAAAATACCCAGCAAAGTGACAGGATATTGTGTGACGTGCTGCTTAAAATACTTCTCAAAGAACAATATTGAAGCAATTTTTCTGATTTTGACATAAAAAAAACTAGCAAATTGACGGAACATTGTATGATGTGCTGCATGAAATACTTCTCTATGAATAATATTGTGGAGATTTCCCTGATTTTGACAATAAAAAATACCCAGCAAATTGACAGGATATTGTGTAACGTGCTGCGTAAAATACTTCTCAAAGAACAATACTGAAGTAATTTTTCTGATTTTGGCATTAAAAAAACTTGCAAATTGACGGAACACTGTATGATATGCTGCATGAAATACTTCTCTATGAATAATATTGTGGAGATTTTCCTGATTTTGACAATAAAAAATACCCAGCAAATTGACAGGATATTGTGTAACGTGCTGCGTAAAATACTTCTCAAAGAACAATATTGAAGTAATTTTTCTGATTTTGGCATTAAAAAAACTTGCAAATTGACCGAACACTGTATGATGTGCTGCATGAAATACTTCTCTATGAATAATATTGTGGAGATTTTCCTGATTTTGGCAATAAAAAATACCCAGCAAATTAACAGGATATTGTGCAACGTGCGGCGTAAAATACTTCTCAAAGAACAATATTGAAGTAATTTTTCTGATTTTGAGATAAAAAAAAACTAGCAAATTGACGGAAAACTGTATGATGTGCTGCATGAAATACTTCTCTATGAATAATATTGTGGAGATTTTCTTGATTTAAAAAAACTATCGAATTGACCGAACATTGTGTGTGATGAGCTGTATGAAATATTTCTGTCAATATTGTAGAAATTTTGAATATGGTAACTAGCCAACAGACAATATAATGTTAGAAATTCTGTAACATGCATTCAAGACTAAAACAATGTATCACAATAGAAGTTAGCTCTTGAAAAGGATATTTTGTTGATGGAGTCCCCATGCTTAAAATGCCTTATTTATTCATGGATAATTCATATTGTTTCTTATTCTAGCAATTAGTACCTACTTATGATTACGCCAAACCACAGAAGAAACTTTTTCTCACAAATTATCGTTCACCTCCATTTCTAATTAAAAAGAAAGTAAAAGTGAGCTCAGACAAACATAGAGTGAGCCATGAAGTTTAAATTGCTGAAAGAAAAAAAAAATTTCAAAATTTAAATAAATTTTTGGAAGAGAACTTCTCCATTCCGTAATCCTGAGTAAACTCCTCAGAATTCATTTTGAAAATTTCTTTTCAGTATTTGAAATTTCATGGCTTACTCTATGTTTGTCTGAACTCATTTTTCTACATTTCAAATAAGTTAGGGCAGGGGTGGCGAACCTTTATACATCAACGTGTCATTTTTCTAAAAAAATTTTTTAATGATGTCATAGACGTGCCGTCAAATAATTTTGACTTCGTGATTATAGGGAAAATAATAATACTAAACACTATCAACTCAAAACTCTTTATTTATATTGAAATAAAATACATTTTGCAATGTCTCAGTTATACGCATAATTCAACTTAAAGTAACATCAGTGTGACTTCTGTTGTTGCAGATTAGATGACAAATAACTTATATTAGGTTGTAAGATGTTAGTTTAAGCAGGACTCTTAAATTATTTTTGCTAGTTATTTATTGTTAGTTTGCTTTTTACGGTTATTAATTGTTTTTTTAGCATTAATTGTTAATTTTTTTATTAATAATTGCTTATTATTTTGTGTGTTTTTCGTGAATTTTAATTTAATTGTTACTTATGCTCCAATTGTGATAGGTGGTGTGCCCAAAATATTGTGTCGAGTGCCATAAATGGCACGCGTGCCATTGGTTCGCCATCCCTGAGTTAGGGGTTCAAAAGAGAATTTACGACGAAAAGTTTCTCCCGTTGTATAGCGTACCCTTAAGGGAAGTTTTAATGAACTTCTAATAGACTTTTTGGATACGTTAAAAAAAATGGTTAAATTCTTGGAAACACATTGACATTAATTTAATCTGTATAAAAAGTTATACTGATTCAATAAGAGATTTTCCAGAAATTAAAAAAAAATATATTAGATCACACGGAAAAAAGTATAATTTATCAACCTTTAGCACCTGAGTTCCAAACATGTCATAGAATTTTAAAAAAAAAATGACTGTTATTACAACAAATAGGTAATGTCTGTCGTTTTTTAAACCTTAAAAAAAGGGGATAATGATACAGACATTATTACATAATTACTGCAATAGGTCAAACAACCCGGTAACTCACTGACATTTCTAAATTTCCATAATATCCTAATGAAAAAAAAAAAGAAATAGTAAAATGAAATAAATGATGTTAAGTTGTTTGAAACTAAAATATCTAAATTAATAAAATTCTGAAATATTTCGGGTAAAATCCTCTTCGATTGCTCTTGAAATAATCAATTGTAATTCTCTGGTCCAGCGGTTCCAAGTTTTTTCCGGCTGCGGAACCCTAAATGATCAATCTTCTTTTGGCGGAACCCCCAATTAATAAATAAAGTTCTCTAAACCTAACAAAAGAAACACTACTTATCTATTAGAAAATATTAATATAATGTTAAAGTATCAATGTTAATATAAAATATAATGTCCATAAAAAACATTAGAAAAATTTATAAAAATCAATTTTCTATGTAAATTATTGTAAAAACGAATTATTTCCAACAAAGGAAAATTATTATTTTTTGGACACAAAGAATAGTTAAACTCTATTGGTATCTTTATTTAACCACCCGGAAACTTCACAACTAAA